TTAAACAAAGTAGAAATATAGATGAATATATAGTATATAAATATATATTTTAATTTGCCTCGGACCGACAAAGTAAAATTCTATCTGCAGGCTGGATATGACTTTCCGGCAGGCCACAGTTTGCCCATCCCTGCCATATAACACGCACCCTTTTCATTATGAAGAAACTTGAAAGATATGTATACATTGCTCTTAACTTTTGAAGTCGTTCAATTGAAGATATTTCCTATACTTTCGACAATTGTATACTGAATTGACAAACAATGAGGTTTGGTTTATTTAATTATGGCAAAGTGCACTAGAGCTATCTGCCTAAGGGGAGGGATGCTTTCGTGGAGGACTTTCTAAGGGAAACTGGCTCATGTACACATGGGGAAAACCACAAAAACGCCCATGCACCCAGCCTGTTCGCGGGATTCGAACCTCGATAAACAATAAGAGGATCGATATGTGTGTAGGGTAAATGCTTGAGGAAGTAAATTATTATGCAAATAGGGTAGGTTGTAATCAATGCAGGTGTGCTTGAGAATGTTGTTCTAGGGTTTTGGGGAAACGGGACATAAGTAATTAGCTTATGGGTAGACTAAGAATGCACTTTTGACATTAATTGCATTTGTGAAGTTAGAAGTCAGATATTTTCTCTTTCTGAAGTCATTTGAAGCAGTGATTTTGAAGTGAACATTGAAAGTAATGCTTTAGTAAATTAGCATTTGCATTACCTGAAATACAGTTGATTTAGTTTTCCTTTTAGTTAAAAATGTGACTCCTGCCCAACTGGACAAACACAGTGCTGGTTTCAAATGCATTCAATTTATATAAAAAAGGGGGGGGTCGTGCTGCAGCAAGGATGCCTGTGCTTGGTAGCATACATGAGTGAAAGAAAAATGAAAACACAGTAATTAATATGCTTTATGTAAAGGGCATTATCTGATAATTTAAATTTTTAAGTTCATAAAGTGTCATTCTTTTAGATAAACAGCATTTGGGTATAGTAGAAATCTAATTTCTGTATGCTCTTCTTTTCCTTATTTTTAAATGTATCATTTTTATATCTGGCATATAATGTTCACCCATAAATTTCAATCTTATTTTTTGTCTTAAAACTGTGTGTTATATGTTGGAATATATAGCATATTTTAATATTCATAAGCATAATCAAATTTTTGTTTCATGAATTTCATAATGCTTTTTTAAATTTTAGGTAGAATACTGGATGATTGCAAAAGTTCATGCCAGATTTTCATAGATACTGATTGTTTGTTTTATAACCATAGTATTAACTAACAGTTATTTAAATGTGTCATGAGTCAATATAACCATAAAAAAGGATTTATTTAAATCCATTTCTTTCCAGAGTTAATATTCAAAATGGCAAATTAAGTTACATTTTCTTCATGTTATGTTACATAAGTTTAGAAAAAGAGCGAATGTTAGAACTACAACAAAAAATGTTCAAGACCTTTATTTGGATCGTGCTCTTGCTCTCAGGATAGTTAAAAAGTGGTTTAGTTGATTTTAAAATAGTGACTTCAATCTAAATGATAAACTTTACTTTGGGCAACCTTCTTTTAGCATTAATAAGGACTTTATCCATTATTTAATGAATAATAATTCAGAGATTACCAAGAGATAAAATGTTGATAATTTGAGTGCATTTTGCCATTTAAAGCAACATGAATACACCTCAAAACTCGATATATGGGCTCTGCACTTTTTGACAGAACAGGACAAACTGAACTCTATGTTTCCACAGCCATTTCTCCCCTCACCTATCAAAAAAATGAACTTAAGTCGGTAATGGATAAAGTCATGGATAAAGTTGTAATAGGAGATGAAAAATGGATTGTGTATAACATAGTATGAAAAAGAAGCTGGAAGCATGGAAGTGAAAGATTAGAATCTTTGGCAAACACTAAACTGCATCGAATGAAAGTGTTGTTATGTGTGTGATGAGATTGCAGAGGAATAATATTTTATGAGCTTCTTTTACATAGCCAAGCAATAATTGTGTAGAGGTATTATGAGCAGCTCACCCAACCCAACTCAACGCTGAAATCCAAGCAAAATTTCCAAATTTGGTTAGTTGAAAGGGCATCCTCTTTCATCATGATAACACTAAACCACATGCCATTCAATGGACACTGCAAAAATTTAGAAAGTTTAATATAGTTGATCCTCCAGTACCTATCATATTCCTCTGACCTTGTCCTTTGGACTTTCATTTGTTTCATTTTCTGCAGTATAATTTGAATGTATATAAAAAAAAAAAAGTTCTATGGAAGAAGTCGGAAACTGTTGTATGATTTTTTTAAAAAATCATTATATTTAAAAATAAGGTCTAAAAAATACAAGGAAGGTATTTTTTAGACCTTATTTTTAGGAATTATCTTTTAACATCATTTATGTAATTTAACATAAGCAGTTTCAATTGGTTAAGACTGAAGAGCATTTTAATGACATTTTGAAATACTTAGCTTAAGTTTATCTAGATTTTATTTTAAAATATAGTATTTGTTGATCTTCAAAAGTCTAAAAGTATTTTTAAAAGAGGTTCTATATTAGTGAATTGTAGCAGTATTCATCTCATTTTATTTATGTAGTTGAGGACTGGAATCAGCGATTTTGTAATCCAGTAAACCTTCTACATATTAGCCTATATATTATATTATATTCAATATCTGTTAATTTTAAAAGAGAAACCATACAATTTCTCGAAAGAAAGAAGTCAAAAACTTGTAAAATGATGGAAGACAGTTATAGAAAATGATGGAGAGTGTATGATTGATTGATAAATACTCTTTTTAATGAAAATGTGTTGTATTTAAATTGGTTTAAAATCAAGCATGGACTTTTGCAGTTGCTCAGTATTTGATATAGATTTCATAGTGTAATAAAACTTCTGATGGTGATCACACCAAGAAGAGTAATATTCCTTTGTCTAGGGAATGTACATTAATAAAAAGGATTTCCTCAAATAAAGAGACTTTAATGCTAATAAAGTTATTTTTAAAAGAACTACATATATGCATGTTTTACACTGAATATGTTTTCACTTTTTCTCTTTAATGGAAATTTTAATTCTAATACTAAGATTTTGTCTAATATATGCATTTTTCTGAATGGATGTGTCAAAATGTTTGTATATATGGAGGAAATACTCGTATGATTTTTTAAAAAAAATATTTTTTTCACAGATTTGTTTTCATGCTGGCCTTTAAATTTTATTTATGTCTGTTTCACAGTAGGATTAATGTAAATAATTCTAGTTTTTTGCTTGAAGTTGTTTTATATTACTTTTGAGTATATTTTTAAAAAAGAACTAAATTTGGATGATTGTTCTTAAATTAATTTTTTTTAAGTGAGGTGGAAACATTCATGATATTGAAATAGGCTATATCAATATGCATATTTGTTTTTAATGCTCTTTATGATAAAATAAGTTCATGCTGTATTAAGTTTTCATTAGGTACACACTTAAAAAAATATTTAATGTGAATGAAAAAAAGATGAAGGTATTTTTTAGACCTTATTTTTAGGAATTATCTTTTAACATCATTTATGTAATTTAACATAAGCAGTTTCAATTGGTTAAGACTGAAGAGCATTTTAATGACATTTTGAAATACTTAGCTTAAGTTTATCTAGATTTTATTTTAAAATATAGTATTTGTTGATCTTCAAAAGTCTAAAAGCATTTTCAAAAGAGGTTCTATATTAGTGAATTGTAGCAGTATTCATCTCATTTTATTTATGTAGTTGAGGACTGGAATCAATGATTTTGTAATCCAGTAAACCTTCTACATATTAGCCTATATATTATATTATATTCAATATCTTAATTTTTAAAGAGTTTTTTAATTAATTTTTAGGTATTCTAGATTATGTTTTAAATCCTACTTGCATATTTTTTTAGGTGTAGGAGAAATAGGAAAAGCTAAAAACAAGCATAGTTTTATACACTGTATTAGCAGTTTGGAAAATATTAATGAATTACGTGTATGGAACTTCCATTTTATTTTTCAGGTGTGACTAAGTAGACAAAATTTAAATCTTCTAGTACTACATTTCTTATGCTTAAAACATTCTCATTTCTGATTTTTATTTAGTAAATTCTGTCATATGCCCATTTGTTTAATATTTAAAGTAGGTGGGATGCTAAAACTACTGTAGAACACTTGTTCAGTGAAGGGAAGGGAATGTCGGGCTACATCAAATACATAAAACTTTCCTTTAAATCAAGTGCTAAATTATCTCACAATTTTTGTTCAAGTTCAAATGCAGTTCGTTGAGGTCTTGAACTTTCTGCATGGAAATTTTTGACTAAATATTTCATATATGTCGGTATACTGGGGGGGGGGGAAAAAAAGTTCATTTAAAATTTTCAAGTTACTGTAGACCCAAAAGATGATAGAAATCTTTTATTGAAATCTGATTTTGTGTAGTAATGTATGTAGTGGGGGAGTTGAAGATGCTAAATAACATTTCCAACATTGTTTTCCACACCACAGAACATTTAGTAAAGATAATCAGAAAAGGGACAGATTAGATTAAATACAAGTGCCGTTTGATACAAACTGGATTCTGTATAGCTTTTACCAGTCTTATCACATAACCGATTAGTGCCTACTCGCACTTGCTGATGTATTAAAGAGATTAAAGAGTCAATTTACCACCTTCGCGTGGAAAACTACAGTTCCTTATTCTACACATTCACGTGCAAACAGACATCTCACCACCTTCGCGTGGGATAGCAGAAGAAAGTCTCTGTCATACTCCTCTTTCACCTCGCTGCTGGTGCATCGGTGAAGCCCTCTGGTGGTTGTGTCACACTTATGGATACTACATGTATATTTATAAATGTGCAGTATATGTCAGTTTATGTTATGAAAAATATATTGTAATGAGTGATTTAAAAAAGTAAAATGACTTCTAAGAAAATATTCTTATGAGTTGGTTTCTTTCTAACGTTGCATACAAATTTTTAATGTTATTATGTATAGGAAATCGATGTATAACTGGAGAAGGACTGAGTCAAGATGGTTTGGTTGTAAATGATTCACATGCTGAAGTTATAACAAGGAGGGGTTTTCTGAGGTATGATTTTTCTGTATTTAAAAAAAAGTGAGATAGAAATTAAAAAGGTATACATTTTGAAATGTAACTATATATAAAAAAAAGACAACCAGTTGCCATGTGTAAGCTATATAGTGTATATTATTTATTGCATATGAAAGCTATATATGTTTTATAGTCAGATAAGTCAGTAAATTGTTAGTATTGCATGTGCAGTTATATTAAACTGCAATTAAATTATTTGCTGTAAGTGTAGTCAATAAAAATAATGAAATTGATAAATTAATTTTCATATGTACTGTTAATTTTTCATGTTGATAAAATAAGGAGATTTTCATAATCTTAATGAAAATGAGTGTCTTGTTTTGCATGGAAATAATAAATGTTATATTTTATTGTAATTGATACTGTCTATGCAGATAAAGCACACCTGACATATTAATTTTTATGTATTTTTGAAACTTCTGATGGATTCTATTTTTTTCATTTTATGGCTAATTTTTAAATTGGTATTTCTGAAAAATTTAAATGTTTGTCAAAATTTTATGGATGCCAAGTTATTATGGCAGGAAATTTAAGAGTACTTATATATAAACTATTACTGAAAACTTCAGTGGGTTCCAAAGCAATTTTGGGATCTTAATACAGTCAAAAGTCGTTAAGCCGGACACCCATAATACAGAATGATCTATAATCCGGATCTCAAAGTTACAAACTTTCTGCGCATAGGCATTTACGCATGCGCATAATAAGTTTACACAGACTCGTTTAATGTATAACGGATGGTATAAGCTAAGCTAAAATTATCTAATTATCTATTTCAGTTAATGTTGCAGATTGCGTTGTTCCTTAATCTTCTAATTGAATCTGGCTTATTATTTTTTGCAGACTGCTAGAGCAATTTTATAAAAGTAAGCTTGAACTTTCGATTATGTCAAATAGAATTTCCAATGCTGGAGCTTACAAAGTGAAAGTATGTTTCGATGTCCATCAAACAAAAAGTGGAATTGCTGCAAAAAATGGATAATGGATCCTTTGTTTCTCTAACCATTCAAAAATCTGTTTATCAATTTCACGCTGCTCTGCTGAGGGGGGGGGGGAACTTCGAGGCGTGGCGCGCTATGAACTGAAAGTTGATCTGTTAGCACTATCCTTATCTTCAGAGCAGATGTTTTTATTTTATTCAGCTTATAATTCCTTACTAAGTGTAGTATTTCATCTCCATGTATTCCGTCTTTGATATGATTTAAATCAAATTCCTCATCATTATAAATATCATGAGTACACATCAAATAGTTTTCTGGTTGAAATTTTCTAATTTCGACTATGCATAATGTATGCTTTATGCATGCGCGTGTTGAAAGAAATGTTTAATAAAGTAAACAAATAAATATAAAGCTTTTTTTTTTTTTTTTTTTTTTTTAAATTTTGATACCCTTTAGATCATTATTGCTCTTTATTTCATAAATTACGGTTGCATATTTTTAATTTTATAATTTCTGCATGCCATGTTACCAGATTTAAACTGATGATCTATAATCCGGAAAAATCGATAATCCGGAATCGCCAAAGTCCCGATGAGTCCAGATTAAAGACTTTTGACTGTACTATAGACTTTCAGTTGATGATGTAGAGATTTTGGTTAATGTGAACATGATTCAAACTTATTTTCTACTTTCATTATATCAGCTTGTTTCAATGTTATAATTTCCTCATATGCATTATTTAGTGATGTTACTCCTATATTAGAAAACTATACAATATTCTGAACTGTTAGTCTGCAGTTCTGGAAAAGCAGATAGCTTCTATTATATTATTTTGCGAACTCTAGAGACCCATTAAGAAGACAACATATAGAAGTTGATGAAACAGAACTGAGCAGGTTAATTTTTTGATGGTAATCAACAAGCTCAGCTTGCATCCCAGTTACGCACTGTAATAGGCCAAATGAACACACTATGATTACACATTTATGACTGACAGATATCATAGGTATTTGGGGAAGAAATAACTGCTTAATTTTGCCACTGCTGAAGGTTTAAAATAAACAGTAAAGACCTAAGCTTATATTCAGAAGTCTGTTTGGTACTTTTCCGTTTCGCCTGTGCAAATCTCGCCAAGTAGATTTTATTGGTGCAACACACAGTATAGACATAAAAAATGTTAACAAATGTTTAGTTCTAAGAAAATTTTATTTTGGAGGCATAAACATTTTAATATCATTTAAAATTTTGTGAAAAGACAATAAATAAAGATGATAAATTTGTAAAAAGACATTAATTTAAGAATTTACTGTGCTTTCATGGTACGACATCCTGGTTTGCCGTTTCATATCCTGTGACCTCAAGTGATCTCATCTCATGTAAACTACACAACAAAAATCTAATTCTCTACATTACTTTCAAGTTAAATCTTAATTTGGAATACAAGTTTAAATGCAAGAATTATTTCAATTCATAAGTGTAGCTTATTCAGAAATTATGTAAATTCGCAGTGCTTTACTTTGCTAGTGCATTCGCATTAGAATTGATGAATTTAACCCTTGACTTTGCATTTTCTAAATTTTTGGCTTCGGGTGAGCAGTGTGATTACATCCTAATTGACTTATTTACCGCGAATGTCCTTAGGGCATAAAATTGAACTATCTGGTAAAAATTCTATGTAATTGTATGCCAGTATCGAAAGAAACAATCTGATAAGAAATGGCTGCGATTTGTTTTGAAAATGAGGTGTAAAAGGTTAGTGACGAGGATTCCTTTTGGCACTATTTTTGGTGTCTTTATCGGTTGCGCTGGCAAAATGGAAAAGTACCGTCTGTTTTATTTCAAAACCTGTAATTGGATATCTCCAGAAAAGTGCAGAATGCTTTAATGCATTTCTTGAGCAATATGTACTTATGATTATGCATACATGGATATCAAGTAAAGTAATTAGTGTGTACATGTGATGTATTGTTACAATTTAGGAAATTTTCCATACACATTTTAGAAAAATTATGTAAAAATTACATTAAATATTAATTTCTATCAAAGGCAGCTGAAATTAATATTAAGTTGTGTGTATATTGATAAATGAACATCATAAAATACTAAGCAGCTAATTTTTTACTTCACTTCTGATGCCTGCAATTTGTAAATTATACTTAGTTTAGTATTAATAATTGCTTATTCATTTCCTCTCTTTTATGCTGTACATTTGAAGTTTAAGTATGTAAAAGTTGAATACTTTTCAACAGATGAAAATGTCTAGTTATTAAATTTACTGAAATGTGAAGTTATTATAAATTTAAGTTCTTATGAAATAAAACTTCATTCAAGGGGGAAGGCACTGTTCCCATCATCAAAGAAAGTATTGTGATAACATCAGATGCATAATTCTGTTCTCTTGAAGTTTTAAAATTTAAGTGGCCACCACATAATCCCAAGGGATTTTTATTACTTCTCTCTGTATGAAAATCGTGGTGGTTGCAGCTTTTGGAATGGTGTCAGAATAGCACTGACAGTTGTAATACATTGTCTGTAACTCTCCATTTTCAAAATAAGCATAAAGGAAGAAAGTTGCCATGCCCTTAGTTGCATAATAAAAAATGCTGTAGTGATCTCGGTTGTGGTAGCCATGGTGTTTTGTTTTTCATTATGAGTTATTTCTTGTGTTATTTAGAATTCTCATTTACATTTTATAATGTTTAGGTTCTTGTATAAACAATTGAAAACTTATGAAGCTGGCAAAGAACATTCCATATTTGAACCTACAGATGATGGCAAACTTCAAATGAAATCAGATGTCACATTCCATTTATACATTTCAACTGCCCCTTGTGGTGATGGAGCTCTATTTACGCAGTAAGTTTGGAAGCTCTTGTTTAGGATTCTTATAATAGTGGTTATTTCTTTGATAGTTCAGTCACTGAATTGTTGAACTGTATGTTTCATATTCTGATAGTGAAATCTTCAAATGAATATTGTAAAATATTCAAGAAGGCAGTTACGATGAGTACCAACATTAAATCAAATTCAGATATTTATGACAAGAAAGTTAGTAAAAAATTTCTATTTTCTTTAAGTATTGTAAATAATCTTAACAATATAACAAAATTAAAAATTACAATATTAATTCAGTTTTCTGTATAATTTTTAAACATAAAAATACTTGTATGATACATAATATCTGTATAATTTTTAAACGTAAAAATTATCATATAGGTTGCTTATGTAGTTAGCCAGCAAAGCATGTTTTGTGAAATGGAAAGTGGCGTAAATGGATGGTCTTTCAATATCAAGCAAGATAAATGTGCTGTTTTCCTCATTTTAAATAATTTTCTTATCATCACTGTCATACTTATTTAAAATTTAATAAAAGAAGTTATGTTGAGCTTTTTATCTTGTTTTAATAACAGATTTCTGTATTTGCTTTTAATTTTTTAACTTCTGGTATTTTTCAGGTTTTATGAAACATATGCATATACATGAAAGAATATTAATAGTAACTTAACCGAGTTGAGATATTTTTTTATTTGTATTGAATTGTATTTTTATTTCAATAAGAACCGTTGCTCAGTTTTATTTTGATATTATAGGAATTAGCTGTACTAAAAGTGTGTGATTTTTTTTTTTTTATAAATAAGTTTCTTTTGATTTAAACTCTAATGGTGATCTTTCTTGGTTGTATGAAATGACTTCTGTAGTGGTATTTAGTTGAAAATTTCTTTTGATTTAAACTCTAATGGTAATCTTTCTTGGTAGTATGAAATGATTTCTGTAGTGGTAATTATGTGAAAATTGCATTAAATATTAATTACTATCAAAGGCAGCTGAAATTAAGTTACGTCTATATTGAACATCAACCCTCGTATAACAGGGTAGATAGGTTCCTAGAAAATGCCGTGTTGTGTGAAACCGTGTTGTATGATACCCAGTGTCAGTATAAAACCCAGGGGGGGGGGTTACGTTCCGAAAACTTATTCAAAACAAATATATTTTTTTTTTAAGTTCTACATAAACAACTTAATTTTTATTTAGCATATATATGTATGCACAACACGAAAAAAAAATATCACATATTTTAATTTAATGCAACTTTAAAAATTTCTTCGCTGTCAGTGCTCAGTATAATCAACCGAGGACACTTTTGTGGTGGAATGAGATCGCTTTCACTTTCAGAATTTCTTTCTTCATTTAAAGTTCGCATTTCCTTCTCTCTTTAAAAAATTTGTACTTTTACTTTGCTTACTGGTTCTTAGCAGGTCAATGTAAATTTCTCGATATGGAGCTAGACAGTTTTGCTGCTTCCTTTTGAATTTTCGGCCTATTTCAGCGGAAGAGTCTGCAGTGAAGAAAAATTATTCGAAATTTTCAGCTAAGCTTAGACCTTTTTTAAACTTTTTAAAAGCTAAATTATTAACTGCACAATATTCATCAGTGCTAGTATCCTCAGAATCAATTTGATTTATGGCTTCGAATGCCATTTCAATCAAATCTGCTTCATCAATTTCTTCTTCCACTAATAAATCTTGAACGTCCTCAATAGCCATGCCGATGAAAACCTTCGCCTCATTGATTTAGCAAGTTTTAATAAGCTACCAGTTTCATTTTCTGACGATTTCAGGCACGTTTTCTATTTCAGCTGAAGAGAACCATATCTTCTTCTAACATGCATTTAACTTTGATGCTTTCAGTTCTTTCAGAGACAAAGATACAATGTCGATACAGTGCTGTCTTGTATGTCTTCCAAGCTTCCATGACATTGATTTTGGATTAGTTACTGTAATGCTATTCTTATGCAATATGTTTTAAAGGTATAAATAATACCTTGATCCAATGGTTGGAGTAACAAAGTAGTGTTAGGTGGTAGGACAGTATTTTGACATTGGGATTATTCAAATCTTGTGGGTGACATGGAGCATTATCTAATAGTAATAGCACCTTGAAGTTCAAATTTTTCTGCCTTAAATAACATTCAGCGTCTGGCACAAAACAATTTAAAAGCCAATCTTTAGTTTCATAAGCAACATCCTAGCAGCTTCATAATCAGCCGATGCAGATTCTTCCTGAATTCTTATGCTATGAATTGCAAGACCCTTTTTGAAATTTTTGAAACAACTTTTACAGGCCAGAAAGTCTGGGTTGACAGAGAATTCTCCATGTTCTTAAAGGTGCTTTAAAATTGTAAGTGCTTTTTGTTTACTGACATTAACATCCAATGGAATTATTTTTTTTTTTTGACAGCTATCATCAATCCAAATGCTGAGTGGCTTTTCCATCTTCTGAGTTATTGTCGCCTGGTGGCGAACTGCACGTTTTGCGGATGTCGAAGATCCTGCAGCAACTGCACTTCTTACTTCGTTTTCATTTCTCCTAATAGTTCGGGCTGTTGTTTCATTCAAATTAAAACTTTTTCCCATGCAAGATGCCTTTCTACCTTTTAAAAGACGTCCAAAATTTGTATCTTTACTTCTAAAGAAATGAATTTCCTCTTAAACACTTTTTTTTTTTTTTTTTTGTGTGTGTGTGTGTGTCTTTATCGGGCATGTTTTGGGACTGAAATTTAATGTCTTAAAGATGAAAATGTTTTAACACACCATGGCTAGATGCAGTCTGCTGACCAGCAGCGAGAGACACTTTTTTTTTTCGAATTTTGGAAGCCGAACGTGCAGGTTGTGCATTTTCAAGTACTTCATGTTGTTCACCTTCTGTGATAGTGAGGTTTCTTCATTGTTATCTAGTGATTGTGCTCTGAGGCTGGGTATTGTTTTTATTGCGCTTCTGTGCTTTGAAGGTCATCGAAGGAAAGAATTTTCCTCCTGTACTGGTTAAGAAGTCAACGGTCACTCTCCACCATGGGGTTCATCTCCCTGAGGACATTTTTGCTTTTAGATTGCTTGGACAATTTTCTTATCTTTTTAGAGAGAAACTGTGTTATAAGAAAACCTTGTTGTAGGAGGGTTCATGCAATTTATGAATTGTGTTATAGTGAAACCATGTTACAGGATGACGTGTTGTAGGAGGGCTACCTGTATTTGCAAAATAAACCGTAATTATTTGAATTCAAAGAAGCTGTAATAGGCTGTTGAATATTAATTTTGATCAAATAGAATTTATTCATTATAATTAATAAGAACGTGGCTTTGTTTTACAATTTTATTATAATTTTCAGAAGTGTTATGTAATGCCATTTGATATATTTAAAGGGTAAATTTTAAAGTAATTATGGTTTGTTTGCAATGATAGTGTTGTTACTGAAATCCAGTTAATTCAAGAATAAATGGCTATTTGTTGTTTGTAAAGGAAGCTCCTCTTCTCTTTCTTATCTCTTCTGTTTTGTATGGAATAATTCTGAATGTTTTATATGGAATAATTCTGAAGAAGCAATATCATATTTTAATTACTTTTTTATTGTGTTTCTTTTGTTTACATTTCAAGTGTGCAGTCTGTTTTACATTCCAGATTTGGCTGGTAGCAATTTTTTTAGCAGGTTTTAAAAATGAAAAAGAGCAAGCTTAAACCTATAAGCTTGTACTGACCATTACTGTATTAAAGAACCACATAGTCTAAAATTGTATGAGCTATTTGACTACTTTCCTTTTATAGCATTTTTGCCATTGTATAATGAATGTTATGTTTCACTATGATTTCAGTAATCTAAAACCTGGCGAAAAAGTAGAGCCTCCTGATGATAATGATAGCCAGCATCATCCAGTATTCACCAAAAGCCTGCAAGGACTGCTGCGATCTAAAATGGAAGCAGGTGTGATTTACTGTTCTTTGTATCATTTCTTTTTAAACATAAAATCTTAAACTTTTGTTGTGTAAACAAAAGTATTGCTTGAAAAGTTTTGTTGAGTATTTACATTAATTTGAAAAGTTTAACCCATTTTTAGTCTTGAGTGCTTAATGTTTGAAATGTGAAATGAATTTATTATATTTTTTATTCAAATAATAATAGAAAATTTGTGTATGTGCACTAATATTGCTAGTAATATTTAGATTTGATTTTTAACTTTCATAACTACTTCCTGTTTTAATGCACGGAATCTAAATTAATGACGACCAAAATTTCCTTTCAAATAAAATACTGTTACGTGATTAAGACACACTTTACTTACTGGATTACTGTTACGTGCATATGCGTTCACATAGCACTGAATGCGCACAATTTATTATCCCCCAAGGAAGCCTTTACAGTTCTGAAAGTTCTAACAAAAGTATTCAACATTCTTTCTCAGTATGAAAGAGCTCATTCATTGGTTGTGCTTCAAACTATTGAGATCATTAAACAAAATACAATTTAAAAAGCCTCAATTGCATAATTTCTCAGTGCTGTCAATACTCTGAGTTAAACTCTGAACTCAACTCAGAAGTTCTATCCGTTTTATATAGTTTTCTCTCAGCTGCAGAAAAATATCCGATACCTTCGTTTTCTCGAAATTGCTGAAAGAGATACACAGTTGCAGCTACATAGGGTCGGATACAGTTACAGTTATGAAGGGACTGAACCAGTTACAGTTACACAGGAATGTAACGCGTATATACCGTATTTGCCGGCGTATAAGACGCACTCCTTTTTTTTATACAATTTTGAGGGATAAAACTTTATTACTGATCATTATAATGAATTTACAGTATTTTAAATACAAAGAAATATAAATACAAAGTAATACTTTCTGCAAATACCCAATCTGTCTGGGAAAGTACACCTTTTAACCTTCTTCGTCAAACCCCAGACACTCATCTCCAGAGCTAAATGAAAAGTTCCTTGAAACCTCTTCTAGATCAGCGTATGCGGACTCAAATAACAAATTATCCTCTATACTAACCAATGCATTACTACCTCTTCCTGATTCCGCCAGGTTCTTACCATTTTCTCAGTTGGAGGTGGCCCGAAATGCCTCTCTGCTGTCCTGTTTCCATGTTCTTTAGCATGCGCAATCACACGTTGCTCGTATACAACGTATGTTATAGTAACGTAGAGGTTGTTTCTGAGCCATAACTTGCCAACAAATTTAAGAAAACTGAACAGTAGAAATGTCACACACTTAAACGTCGTTCACAAAACATAGAAAGTTTAAACGAACCCTACGTAACTTGTAATATTTCCACACTCCGCAAGGAAACAAGGTAAAAATCGCATAACTCCGAATGAACTGAATATCGACGTATAAGATATAGTTTATCGACGTATAAGACGCACCCCGTTTTTCAGACCTCTTTTCAAGGAAACAGTGCGTCTTATACGCCGACAAGTACGGTAAGTTGTGCATGGAGAAAACCACGAAAACACCCATGTAGGCAGCTCCTTCGGCGGAATTCAAAGCCCGGACGACTGAACTACAACATTTCAGCGACTTTACCGCTCGATGAATAGCTCCAAATATCCGAAAATTCCATTGACTATTCATACCATTTATCTTTCTTTTCTCTAGAGCCAGTTACCTGTTTACTATAAAACAAAAAAATATAATTTTCCGTTTACGTATTTTATATCAACAAAAATTATGCAGTTAAAATACTGTTACGTTTTTCTCTTCCTGACACCAGTTGTTACGTTATTTTCTTCCTTCACGTTCGTACGGAGTTCGCAGATTTGGAGTGAATAACGACGACACTTGATGATGAAGAATCGAAACACACTTTATTTAGTTAATATTAATCAGGACAGCTCTAATAACACTTTTTACAGTCGTCGATGAACTACTATAAATACGCTGACACGATCAGCGACACAGCCTTCAGGTTATCAGGCTATCACGGTGGAGACAGCTTTCTACAAAGCACCCGACTCTGCTTTCCGGAGTACAGCTCCCGACTCTGCTTGGTCGTTCTCGGAACTCCACGTACTCTCGAAACTCTCCACGCTACAACTCGCGATGCACTCGACGACACACAGAGCACAGCTCCTGACTCTAGGTTTAGTCGTTTCTGGAGCTCAACACGCTCTCTCGACGATGTACTAACCGCGATACTCTACGAGACTCTTTCGGTGCGCTCGACGACCCACTCGGCACTCGCTGCCCGGCTGTCAACTCGATCGTCTCCGCATGGATTGACTCGCTAGACGAGACACACTCACTCGATGAGAGATGCACACTAACTGACTGCGGACCAGCAGGGTTTATATAGCTTTCGGCTTGTGTTCGGGAACATTCTGGGCTAAATCGGTAAGAATTCATTCCAGAAGGTTCTCCAACCGTCCATGGTATATCGCCATTTTTGACGCCAAATGGGCGATTTCTCGCCAAATGTGGCAACTCTGCCCTCCTTGCTGTTTTATGGCAACCCTAAAGCTGCTTTGCGGAGAAGCCATTTCACCGTGCCTTTACATTTCGTAACAATACCACTCTTTATACTGAAAAGGAAAAGACGGTACTTTAAAGTTATGTATAAAAACAAAGCACCTGACGTGATGTATACTAAAAAAGATAATATAAAGTAATTATCTCAGCTATGTTAAATTTTACGGAAAAGTTTGCTTACAAAAAAGGAAAGTTATATAATGTTGCCGCATTTATTTATTCTATTTTTTAAAAAAGGGCACTTTTTACAGATAAACAATGATTTTCAGAGTAAGAAAAGAAAGGTTAGCCTGTATACAGTACATACTATTTTTAATTAATGTTTATGCAGTACGTTATAAATCAATCTATAAATTTATCTAAATTAAATTTATTAATTTGCTTAAAAACATTTAACTTATTATCATTTTATAATATTTAAATCAAACTAAAAATTTAAAACTGGAATAAATTAATACATTAATTTGATTTGATTTGATTTCGGAATCAACAAACAGTTCAAATAATTGGACTTCTAGTTACCCGGAGTCCCAGTGAGCGGAAAGCAGTGAATGTTTAATTTAACACTTTATTCCGAAATTGTATAGTTGAATTTTTCTTTTGCGTAGAAAGAACCCAAGTGATTAATTCCTTGTGTTCATAGAAATAAAATTCAATGACTCATTTAACTGAATTTAATATAAATCATTTAAAATAAAGACAGCAAAGCACAAAAATATCTGCTATTAATGAGATTTGTTTTTCAGTTTTTAAAAACTTTATTCTGGAAAGTGCTGTGAAATTAGAGTGGCTTACATTTCAACACAAACACGTTATTTCCAGAGAAATATGTGATTCCTCAAAAATACTGACAAAACGAATTTAGACGTTTTTATGTCATAATTGAAGTCAAATAACTTTCTTTTTCATAATTACTTAAATATTTAACTTAATTTAAATTATCTGCATTGTTTAACATAACATTAAAATCTGGAATAAGACCGTCGTTTAAAAACTCTAAAATGTGAAAATATTACTGTTTTAGATTATGATTTGAATCAGACTAAATATATAGCATTCTATTATACTTTGGGCGGGGGGGATAATCTATCTCGTGATAATTTTTGTGTTTTAAAAAAATGACCAGTTCTGTAAAATAATAAACTGTTTAATTTTCGATTTAAGTATTATGAAAGCAATGAATGCGTTTCCTTTTCTACATACCTTGAGTTTACACAAAAAATAACTGCTTACAAACAAGTGAGAATAATTATTTTCAAACAGAAAAGTAATGTGTGATATTGTTCGAGTCTCGAACAAGAAAATCATTTTGCTTAGTTCTAAATTTAATTTTCTTTGTTGGATCATGTAATTTTTTCCAACTACTCCTTTAAATACTCTTTCTACCTCATTTATATGCAGCGCGATACTAAAAACTTATTCTGGTATGGAACAGTAGGTAGAAAACGAGAATAAACTGTAACGTGTGTTGAAAAATTAAAATAACTGATAGAAACTTAAAGTAACCTCTAGAGTCTAATCATCTGATTTAGGAAAACATGTGTCGCTATCTAGAGAAGTTCACTTACACTAAAAAAACTACCTCCATTACAACTGAATAATAAGAGTATTTATTGAGCTAACTTATAGGTAATGAGATCATAGTGTGACCTTTTATTCAATAATGACACAATAATAAACAACTAAAATAAATTAATGATGGCACAATTAACAACTAGCACAACTTATTTTTATGTTAACTTTGAGATTCCGCATCTAACTAAAAGTGATAAAATCGTGCTCACAAGCGGCCAAGCTGTAAAATCGCTAAACACTGGTAGTTCTAGCTGGGTTCGATCCTAGGCAAACGGGAGGGCTGCATCTGTGTTTTCGTGGTTTGTTCCGTGTATACAAGTCAGCTGCCCTTAGAAAGCCCTCCACGAGGCATCCATCTTAGGGCAGATAGTCCTTAGGGCAGATAGCTTTGCCAAAATGAAGTAAACCAAATCAAGGAAATAAAATCATTGTAACGAGAAACTTAATGTTTGAAAAGCACCTTAAAACTACCTATGCTCCAGATCTTTACGATATTACTAGTCAACCCCTAGTATTTGTGACCGCTGGTGTTAATAAATACAGCTTTAAGAAAGTTTCAATTCAATTAGAAAATTTATAAACTAATACGTTGATAAAATCAGAAGTAAATTATTAGAAATTACGTATACAGCAAGTTCCGCAAAAGGAAGCATTTAAGAAACAATTTGTACTTTATTATTTCCCGTGTTTTGCTTAGTAACTCATTTATTTTAATCAATCACTTCTTCCATGGAATTGATTTTTAAAGTAATTTGCATCACTGGAAAAATAATTATTCATTAGTTGTTGGAAATAAGAATTTGAAGCAGCTTCTACGTCTACCAAATTTTTTATTAAAAAAGAACCCACAGAAAGTAAAAAAAGGGCAATAAAAATTCAAATTCCCACTCCCCTCCCACACACACACGGCAATGGCTTAATGAGTTTCTGAAAATATTTCAGCGCCATCATTAAAAAAATTCTTTGAGACAAGAGATAGAATGATAAAAAAGCACAACTTAGAACTTTCCCCATTTGTAGAAGCAACGTGTGGTAAGGTTGCTTCAGGATAAATATTGATCCCTTAACAAGCATAACTATTCTCAAATTTGTTAAAAATAATGTAGACGAATTCAAGAAGACAGTTTTATGTAAACGTTGGATTCGATAAACTAATCCAAATTCTGCTGTATCTACGTAGAATGAAAATCCCAATTAGTTAGCATGCTTTAATGAATTGCAAATCAACGTCCTACAATATTTGCATGCAAATTTAGATTCCATATATTTCCGTTAGTAACGGTATAGAGTCATTAGGTTTTTCTTGAAGCAGGAGAAGTGAAAAATGTGCAACTCCCTCTCCGGGACTCCAACCCTGGTCTTCTTGGATACGCGCCGAGTGTGCTAACCGTTACACCACGAAGGCATGCAGAAAGGAGGGAGAAAATATCCTATACACTCCCACTTTTAAAGGGCGACTGGGGATTAGGACCCAATCGCCAAATCCTGGTGGCCAAGAATCATCATCCACCACTTTTTTTTAAATCGGACTCCACTGTAGAGATATTAGGTTATTTTGAAGCAGGAAACAGGAAAAATGAGCAAAACTCGCCGGGACTCGAACCTAGACCTCGAATACGCGCCTTCGTAGAGTAACGGTTAGCACAGTCGGCGCGTATTCGAGAGGTCCAGATTCGAATTCCGGCGAGGGCATTGTTCATTTTTCCTGTCTCCTGCTTGGACCAGATCTCTGGAATGTCACTTTTAACTCCATACTGAATGCGCGTTGGCCGTCGCATACAAAGACAGTAGCCTTTGCAGATGATGCCACTTTCATCGTTCGAGGCCATAGCAGGGACGAATTGGAGAAAAACTGCAACGAGGTTATCTCGCTCTTTGACAACCTCTGCACTGAAAAACACTTTAAAATATCACAGGAAAAAATCTAAATACATTATATTTCACAAGCCTAAACAAACCATCATAAGGAACCTGTGCATCAAGCTAAGAGGAGTGACGGTCAAGAGGGTCAAGGAGCTAAAACTCCTTGGCCTCATCTTGGATGAAAACCTCACTTGGATTCCTCACTTGCAAGCCCAAAGGGTCAAAGCAACAAGAATAGCAACTAGAATTAAAAATATGCAGGGCAAAGATTGAGGATTACGACCCCACTTCCTCAAGACTATTTACAAGACGGTAGTAGAAAAAAATAGTTTTGTATGTGGCAGCTATTTGGGCCCTACCCATGACTGCGAGGAAATTGAATTTACTTAATAGCATTCAACGACCTTTCGTCCTTGCTATCACGAAAACATACATGACAACGGCCACAGCAGCGGCAGCGGTTCTAGCTGGACTTACTCCTCTGCCAATAGCGGCATTACAAGAGGCAACTGTCTCTACTGTCATGCTTCTTAGGAAGTCAGCTTCATTTAGGGGAACTACATTTGTACTATCAGACTTTGAGAACAAAAATTCTCAGCTCAAAGTTCATCCCGCTAGTTATGGGTTGGGCATTTGTGCCCATACCTCTATATCTCAGGATTTACGGGTAAGAGACACAGGCGGTGCAAATACCATCAGCATATTCCCTGATGGCTCAAAAATCAACGAAGAGGCAGGCTGCGCTTTTATTTCTCAATTATCATGATAAACTCTTAGAAACTTGGAAAGGATACCATTGGACTTAATAGATCGGTATTCCAAGCTGAAGCAGTAGCATTGCGCCAGGCTATAACGAGCAGCTATGAAGACTTTGTTGACCGAGAAGTTTGCATTTTCTCAGATAGTCAAGTCGGCAATATTTGCTCTTTCGTGATCCATTCCATCCATCACCGATCATAGCAGATATACAGTGCCTGCTCAAAGAAAATGCGCATGACTGCAACATTCAGATTTTATGGATTAAAGCACACGCGGGGCCACAGAGGCAATGAGGATGCAGACACTCCTTGCAAAGGAAGCTGCAAAGAATATCGGTGCGCAAGATGTCCAGATCCCGCTTCCACAAATCTTATCTGGAGCGAGTCTGTCGCATTAAATCGCAGCAACAATGGCAAGAGGAATGGGACTTCTATATCGCAAGGCCGTAGAACCCATGACTTTGTCCATAGAGTTTCCCAAGATCAAGACTCATCTCAGCCCCTTTTCTTTCCCGTTTCATTACAGGCCACGGACCATTTCCCCAATATTTCTATCAAAGAGGAATATCAACAACTGATCATTGTGTCTGTAATGAAGTAGGTACACCTGATCATTACGTTACATCTTGCTCTCTTACGGAAGAATGGCACATGAGGCTTCCTGATACTGACATTGCTTATAAACGCTTCTTCATTAAGCAGCCGGTCTATCTCAAGAAGCTCAAAAGCATTACGAACAAACTTGAAGCACTAGGACTAGAATTATGCAGCCCACAATAACAGAATTAAATTTCGCAGAGATTCAAAGCATCAATGCACACTGGTTTCCAGTGGCCTCTGCAAGAAGCCCATCTTGAGTCAGTACGCAGAGTAACATTAGGCTGTGAACACGAAAAACAAATGTAAATATGATTTAATATTATCCAAATGTAAATAGTTCAAGTATGTATATTTGTAATGAGCATATTAATGCATGGGTGCAATATTTTAAGCATGTGCATTTTATAAATAGAATATTGTGCAGCGTATTGTGAATAATGTATTGTACAACACACTGTGTATAGTACCTTGGTAAAATGCGTAAGTGTTCGTAGCATGCAGAGCTATGCTTTGAGCCGCAGAAAGCATAATAATTATAACTGTAGTACTACAACTTAATGTATTCAAGAGCACAGAATATAAATATTATAGTAGTAATTATTATAGTAGTTATATGGATGTAAATATTTTTGCATTCTGTAAATTTTAGTGTATTGAGTGATTTATATATAGCAATGTGTTTAACGTGCATATTATGAAATGTATAGTGCATGGTAAATACGGTATTTAATGTATCTAGCACATGTAATTTTTTAACTGCAATTAATTTAATCTGTAATTTTTTTCCCTCAATGTGTATTTCTAACAGTGTTTTTTATAAGCTTTTTGTATTAAGAATTATGTTGTATATAACAAAGAGTTACTACCACTGCCTATATTATTTAATCAAGAATAATGTTCAATGTAATATGTAGCCACTACACACAGTGCATTAAGTGTAGAAATGAGTTTTGTAAGGTGTCCTAAATATAGTGCAGTGTTCAATGCAATATGTATTATAAAAATTTTAGTGTATTGAGTGTTTATATATAGCAGTATGTTAAGGTGCAATGTAACCAGTAGAATGTTTAATTACAAAGTTATTTTTGGTATGTTTTAAGAATACAGCAAAATTTATGGCACAGTTAACTTTTAACATGTTATTTAATCAAAAGTAATATGGGCTGTACTGTGTTCTTAAACCTGTATTTTGTATATTATAAGTACAGCACAAAGTAAACAAAACAAAGACGATTTCTGTGTGCAAAATGTGTAAATTGTTTGTAATGTGCAATTTTTGCTCTTTATTTAAGAGCTCTTATTTTATTTATCTGTTGTATCAAGTTATTTATTTAAGTCTGTCTTATATAACGAAGTTATGTACTATATAATCCAGTTATGACAGTTTTAAACAATTACATTGTTCAGAATCTATGTTGAATTGTCAAGAATAATGTTCAGCGTAATATGTTGCAAAGAATATATAGTGTATTAATTGTAGCATTGAGTTGTAAATGTGCCTTAAGTACAGTGCAATGATCAACGCAATGCATATTATCAAATGTATATTGTAGCAAGTATATGTAGCAATGTGTTAGCATGCGATGTAGCCAGGAAATGTTTAATTTCGCACGCAGAAAAATCTATATTTTGCCCTTGTATAGTTTTCGGAGTGTAGCTTCAGATAGTTGCGGGATCCGGACCATACCCGACTAGTCTATGTAAGCCTTCCGGGAGTCCGGACCTGCTCTCACCTGTCACCTGTCTCCTGCTTCATTTCAATGTAATGCAAATATAATATTAACGTTAACAACACTATGTAATGAATTTGTAAAGGTGGTGCACATATAGAATCAGTGAACAATGTGCATAGCATGTGCCCTCTATAAGTGTTTAATTTTTAGACGTGAAGATAATGTAATGTAAATGTATCATAAGGTAAATGAAATATAAATGTAAATATTTCTATTTAATGAACCTAATAAGTAAAAGCATACGAAAGCAGTGTATATGATATAAACGTCTGAAATCTGTATGTAATGTATGTAAAATGTACTTAAATTTTCAATGTAATCTGTGTTCATAAACCCTGTAAAATGTGCATCCAAATGTATCATTACGCCCTTGTTTGGCCCTGTTTTGCAACTAATTATTGTTCAATAAATACTGGGTCCGGGCGACAGGAGAGGAGTCAGTTTCCGGATGGGCGCTTTGGTCGGTTGGACTGCCATTCGGATGGATGTGGCGTTGGGTTTAGGCGCTCGATGCGAGGCATTGGTATGACCCCACACTCTGGCCAAACTCTAGATAAAGGTGGACGTGGCATTATACCAATAAACCAATTGGCAGAGTGTTGATGCCCACGTCCTCCGTCGCATGCCGCATGTCTCCTGCTTCAAAATAACCTAATACCTCTACACCAGACATGAAAAAGTTTCAGTATTCAGCCGATTTTTCTACTGTCACCAACTTAAAATTCAAGATATCTAGAACAGATATAAGAAATTCTCATTTTACTAGCAGTGGTTCTATAATACTTTGGATAGAACAGCTTATTTTATTAAATTCTACGCAGCCTCTTAAAATTATCTGCGAAGCCCCAACTCTGAGAATTTCATATCTGTATTATAGTACAGCTTGAGTTTTAATAATTAAAGCATAATAAATCTTTTATAAATTAGAAATATTACTCTACGGAGATGACATAAAACCATATTTCATTTTTACCGGAACTGTTCATCTGCAGTGTTGTAACTATTTATATCACAATTTGCCTCACTTTTTTAAGGAATTTATAAGTGCATATTCACAATCAGTATTGAAGGAAATGAAACCTGCATTGTCGTTTCCAAAGATCCTGCATATTTCTTGTAATTGGGTGGTAATGGAATCTGCAAAAGAATGAATAAACTTCTAATTGCGACCATTTTCAAACGGTAAAAAGTCAATATGGGGCATTTCCTAGTATGAGACAGTTTTTTTCTGCAATTTTAAGAATAAAAGTCAAGTAAGTGAAAAGATTTTCTGCAGCTGAGCTTTTAGTTCCTAAAAGCTACCATGAACATACACAACAAATACTTCTGTTAAAACTAAGAACAAATGTGTATAAATTAAAGCTTCATTAAATTCGCATTAGCTAGCAAAACAAGAAGTTCTCTGAAGTCATTTAGAAAAATTAATCGCCTAAAACTTAGGCAAAAATCCTTTTGATATTACAGTTCTTAAAGCTCAAAATGTTGAAAAAATTATTTTTTTTTAAGATGTGACACTCAATTTAAACTTAAGATTTCTCAAAAATTTTATGATGTTTCGGCTGCCTTATTTAAACTTTCATCAAATTTAAGAAAATATTTTTGTTTTAGTGGAGGAGAAAGAATTTTGATGTTTTGATATTTTTATGCAAGTGTTTGATTTTCGGCGAGCCGAAGTTTAACATTTCTGTCGTTTCAAAAATAATTACTGTCAACGTATGTTCCCATATACTTATTTTTATTTTTTATATTTTTTTAATTCTGATTTTTTTATTATTTATTTTGTAGGAAAAAAGATAATATATTTCACACACAATCTCAATTTTTCTATTCACTATTATTTTCATTTTCATTTTATATTTTATTAATTATTTTTTCATTTATCTTTTCACATTTTTTTTTTATTTTTTCATATATCTTCACTGTCGTTTCATTCATCCTTAAAAATATTTATGATTTTGAGGAGGTATGGATGTTATTTACATTTTTTGGTTTTTCTCCATGTGTAACATGTGTACGAATCTAATTTCCCTTAGAAAGTTCTCCTCGAAGGCATCCCTCTCCTTGGGCAGATAGCCTTTGAGTGTTTGCCATAATATACCACGCCATGCCATATTTACATTTTAAGCATTTCAGGCCATATTTAGGGTTAAAATATTTACACTTTTAAAGATTTGAGATTTTA